ATGTTCTTATCACATTACAAGCTCCAAATGGTGGTTTCCCTCCTTCTGATACATTAGCCAATCTATTTGGTTTTGAACCTCAAGAACAACTTTTAAACTTATATAAAACCCATTGTCGTGAAGACCGTATTTTAAAGCATAATAATCATACAGTATGGATCACTAGCATGATCTTATGGTTCTTACGTTTCTTATTGAAAGATTTCAGAAGTGAATGGAGTGGTACTTATGAACGCGCTGAACAGTTCATTAGCAAAGAAATTAACGATTTAGAAATAGAAGAAATTGTAGTTGCTACCGGCAGAAAAGTTGTCCGTGAAAGATTTGATATTGGTAAACCAGGTATGTATTAATTTCTTTCCCTTTGGTCTATTGTATTAATTTATTATTTATTTATATTTATTATTTACTAATAAACTTGATAACTTAAAAAAAAATAGAATCTAAAACTAAACGGGTTACAAGAGAAATTATCTCAATCACACATGTTAGACGTATTCTTAAATGTCAACAAAATACTGGTGCATATTACCTTACTGATGACCTTGCGAAATCCTTTGGTTATGAAAGTGCCGAAATGCTTCAAACTGCATTCTATGAATATAGAAATAGTAAATCCGAAACACAAAAAATTTCTCAAATAAATTACCAAATCTGGTCAACAATGATGGTGCTTTATTTCTATCGTTATGTTGCCGTCGATCAAAAGAAAGAATGGTATCCAACCTATGAAAGGTCTTACAGATGGCTATGGGCTCAATTAAAGGGTAATGATCCCTTGAACATGAAAGTTTTGATATTGTTAAATCGTTTATCAAGGTTTATCATGGCGTGAGAGATAATGTTGTGGAAATGGATCGTGCCTTTGAAGTGGAAATTGCTGAAATGATAGCCTCGATTAAGAACCCACAAAAAGACCGAGGAATTGGTAATTAAAGATTATCTAATTTTTTTCATATATTTGTTTAATGCCATTGATATTTATTTTTAAATTATAAAGTTCAAAAACCTTATGGTATCGCACGTATCGAAATTATTAGTGCCAAAAACCTAAGGCAAGCCGATTCGCGGCTTGCTCGTAGTGCTTTCGATCCATATGTTAAGATATCTAACCTTGCTACAAGTTGGGCTTACGGTGATTCACGTGTTATTTACAACAATTGTGATCCCGTTTGGGAACAAGTGTTTTATATTCCAGTTTATGATATTCATGAAAAATTCAATTTACAAGTCTTCGATTACAGCGCTTTCTTTAAACATAAACTTCTGGGATTCTATATTTTTGATCTCAAATCTGTAATAAAAGAGTTTCCTAATGGTTCTTTCGGAGGAAAGAAATTAAAATTTGATGCCAATCTCACTTACAAAGGAAGCAACAGAGGACAATTATCATTTGTTGCTGACTTCTTTTCGCTTCCCGAACCAGATAAAATGGAAGCTATTACAATAAATAATGCCTCAATTCGACATTTATATCTCTTAATGACCTATCAAAGTCAATATGGTTACTTTGAACTTACCGACTCTTTAGCAAAATTATTCAACTTCAACCCTAAGGAAGAGCTTGCTAAAACCTTCTCTGATTTTGTACAAAACGATGAGTGGGTTCGTAATTTGGATCACAGAATTTGGGCTACAGTGCTTGTCACATCTTTCCTTAAAGTATTATTATGGAAAGAACGTCGTGAGTGGGTGAATATTTACAATAGAGCTGAAAGTTGGTTGAATGAAAATGTAGCTGATGTTGAAGTTGAAGAAACTCTTTATAATTACTCGAACAAGTTCGTTATTCAACTCTTTAAAGCCACTCAATGGGTAGATGAAAATCAACAAAGAAGTTTGGGTATTTTAGGTAAGAAAAGTTTTTCTTTTGTGTTATATAATAATATGGAATGAGTTACATGTTAATCAATAAATTAAAAGATACGAAATTAGTGTCATAATTTTATTATTATTGACTATATTAACGAATGAAACAACGCATATATTAGATTCATTATTAGATAAAGATACATAATTCTGATTTATCGATTTGGATGTAGCCAGAACATATTACCTGTGTACATCTTAAAATATGTATTTATTAATTGATGTACGATTGGTTTTTAATATTTCTTATTTGCTATTCCTACAGTCATTCCTAATACATCACTCATTACCAGACGCTATGTTGATCTACGTATTGTCCGTCGGTTCATCACTTACCAAAATGAATCTGGCTGTTTCGAACTCATCGTAAAATTGGCAGAATCTTTGGGCTTTAGCTCTGTTGAAGAAGCTAAAAAACATATTGAAACTCATTTTTCATCCTACTCACCAAGAACTGCTCAATTTAATGATAACGTTTGGAGTACTGCCATTATGCTTTGGTACATTCGATATGTATTAGTTGACTTCAGAAATGAGTGGGTAGATGTATATCAAAAAGCATATAATTGTCTTTGCCAACAAATATCAGATGATAGAGTACGGGAGGAACTTCTTGAGGCTGCTAGAATCTTTGTTGTTAAAAGATTTGAAGTTGAACCGGATGCTATAAACGAAGATGAATCTTTCAAGGAATCTATAGAAGCTAACAAAATGAGTCAGGGTTTTGATTTTGTTGAAGAGCCCGATGAAGTGCCGCCAATTCCTAATGACGATGTTGTCGGAATAATTAGGATCTGTGTTAAAAATGCCAAAAATCTCAAAAAATCCGATAGTTGGTTTACCTTTGCTAACCCTGATCCGTACGTTCGCATTATGGATGCTTTCGGAAATGAAATAGTTCGCACTAAGGTTTATCATGGAACCATTAATCCAAAATGGAATGAGGTTCATTTAATTTCTGCTCATGGTTTAGACGAAAAAATTTCGGTTGAAATCTATGATGAAAATCTTTTTATATCGGAAAAACCTCTCGGTACCTATGTCATGGATACTAACATTTTACTAAAAAGTGAGGATCAATCCAAACCTTTCAATGGTTCATTCCCACTTCAAATTGGTCAAAAGCCAGTTAGAGGACTATTAAACTTGGATATTCAATTTTTCCCAATCAGTTTCACAGAGGGTGAGAACTTTGTCTTTTCCAAAGATACTATTAAACAACAGCATTTATACATGCTTATTAGCTGGCGCAATGCGGATGGATCTTGGAAATTTACTGATAAATTGGCGCGTTTCTTTAATTATATATCTGCTGAAGAATTGAAACAAGCTTTCCTTGCTCATTTATCTTCTTCAGACAAAGATTTCTTAAAATATGACTTGTCTATATTGGCGACAGCTCTTACGATTATGTATCTCAAGGTTTTATGCTGGAAACACTATGATGAATGGAAACGAATTGTTGCAAACAGTGAATCGTGGCTCAGCAAAGAAATTAACAATATTGATGCCGAGGATAGTTTATATTATTTATGTAGAAAATTCATAGTTGAACGTTTCAATGTTAAGAATTTCGAAAAAGAACAATTGGAGATCATCGAACCTGGTAGGAAATCTATTTATAATAATGGTCTTTTTTAATTAATGAGAGAGACTTATGTGATGTATTACTTTTTAGCCAAACAAACCATTATTACTCGAAAGGTTATCACTATCCGTCATGTTCGTACACTTCTTTCTCATCAATCTGACGATGGTTGTGTTGAATTAAACGAAAAAGTGGCTGAATTCTTTGGATTCAAAAGTGTCGATGAATTTTTACAACACATGCAAAAACATTTTAAAACAGAACGTGTCAGCAAACCTCACCATAATGCTTGGGTTACTGTCTGCGTAGTTTGGTACCTACGTTTTGTTGCTCTTGATCACCGACATGAATGGATCGGCAATTATGAGAAATCATCAGAATGGTTAAAAAAACTATGCAAGGGAGATACTGCTCTTGAAAAGGAAATTAATGATTGCGCTAAGAAATTCATTATTTCAAGATATGAAGTTGATGAGGATGCTATTGAAGCCGATACTAGCTTAACTGCAGCTATTAAGACCAAAGATGCTGCAATAGCAGAAGAAAAGAATGAACTTAGGAGACAAAAGAAAGGTAATTCTAAATCATTAATAATTAATTGTTTTTTTTGAATTCTGTAAATAAGATGTCATTTGTTTACAATACTTTAGGAAGGCATCACAGATCATCCTCCTTATCTGGTAATGTTGTTAATCGAAGTACTACCACTGACACAGTTGTTAAAAAATTCCTTACATACCGTCCAAAGGATCTTTGTTATCAACTTAATGATGAAATTGCGAAACATCTTGGATTCTATGATAAAGCATCCCTGGAATCGGCATTTCGAAGTCACTTTATCTCTGATAATTTATCAAAACTTGATATTGATACATTGCTCACTGCAGTAGCGATATGGTATTTACGTTTATTGGGTGTAGATCATCGTGATCATTGGTCTGGTGAATGTGATGAATTATATAAATTGTTACACTCACGAATTAACAATCCTCAAATTGAACGTGAACTTTTGGGATCTGCCAAACAGTTTATTATCAGATCTTATAATGTTGAGGATGATGCAATCCAAAAGGACGATGAATATCAAGGTAATCTTGAGCCATATTACAAATTAGAAAAGTTCAATTGTGTTATTACTAATTATTTGTATTGATGGGTTTATTAGAGCATTTTAACTGTACTTCAGACATTGAAAGTTGTAAAACCTTTGTTATAGACAAATCAAATAAATCTGCCGGCAAAAAACTTAAAGATGTTAAAAACTTTTTCGGTGGCCTTTATGAAGCAGCTTCTAAACTTGGCGACAAGGTTGAAGATTAGGTTGAAGATGCCCTTACATTTGATAAAGACAATCATGATGATCATGAGAAAGCTGAAGCTCTTATTGTAATTGGAGAATCAGCCTCTCCTGACAAATGTAATGAAATCGTCTTGGGTCAAAAAGATGATGGTTCTATTGAATTGAGCGATTCAGTTTGTAATGAATTAGATGCTCCTAAAGAAGAAATCATTGCAGCAATTCAAAAAAAGATTAAAAACAATAAACTTAAATCACCAGAGTTTTTACCAAGTTTTGAAACTGCAATTATCATTTCATACCTTAAGAAAGCTGCACCTCAGCATGAAAGTTTATGGAAAGATAATTATGATAAAGCCCGTGAATATCTTTCTAAACAAGTAGGAGATGCTAATGCAGAAAAGGAGCTTTTAGATTTGGCAGATAATTATGTAATTGAAAATAGCATAAAGAAAGTAATTAAAGATAAAAAGAGAAATGCAGTATCTAAGATGCGAAATTCGGCTACACCAGAAAAGTGCAACTATACAGTATTTAAACAAAAGGATGACGGATCTTTTGAATTTAGTGAGACGGTTTGCGAAGAAATAGATGTTCATGTTGTAGACATAGTACCTACAGCAAAGAAATATACACAAAATAAGAAACTTAGATCACTCCAATCAGAGCTGTGGTGGAATACAGCACTTACTCTTAGTTACCTTAGAATCGCTGCACCACATCATAAAAAACTATGGGAAGATAAATACAAGAAAGGCCGCGAATATCTTTCTAAGCAAATCGGAGATATCTCGGCAGAAAAAGAATTATTAGATTGTACTGATAAATACGTTGTTGATAATGTCACTAAGAAGTTTGAGAAAGATCATAAGAAGAATGCTGCGCTTCACATTGTTCAGGAAACAGCTTCTCCTGTGAAATACAAAGAAATTGTATCTAAACAAAAAGATGATGGCAGTATTGAATTGGATGATTCAGTATGCAAAGAATTAGGTGCTCCCAAAGAAGATGCCATTACTACAATTAGAAAGAAAGTTAAAAACAATAAAATTAAATCACCCGAGCATTCATCAAGTTTTGCTACTGCAATTAATATTTCATACCTTAAGAATTCTGCACCCCATCTTGAAGGTTTATGGAAGGACAAATATGATAAGGCCCGTGAATATCTTTCTAAGCAAATTGGAGATAAAGATGCGGAAGATGAATTAATAAAATGTGCCGATGAGTACGTAGTTGATAAAGTAATAGATAAAGTAATTGGAGAAATGAAACACGATGTAATTGATCTTAAAAAAGATGAAATATCCAAAGTCACAGAACTTAAAGGTAATTAAAAAAAATTTTTTTTTTTGGTGGTATTTATGAAACAGATTCTAATCTCAGTGATAAAATTGAAAATGTCATCACATTTTGTAAAGACAATGAGAAAGCTGAAGCCCTTATTACCGTTGAAGAATCAGCCTCTTCCGAAAAATGCAAGAAAATCGTTTCAGATCAAAAAGATGTTGGCTGCATTGAATTAGGCGATTCAATTTGTAATAAATTGGTTGTCCCTAAAGAAGTTATTGCTACAAACCAAACCAAGATTAATCAAACAATTGATGATTTTAATCAACTGAGCTTTATTAATTGTCAAAAATCGGCAGATATGAATTATTCGGACGAAATGTACAGGCTTGGCTATTGTTATGAATATGGAATTGTAATTGCAAAGGATGAAAAAAAGGCATTCATCATTATAAAAAGTCTGCAGATATGGATAATTCCAACGGAATGTATCAAGTTGGATATTGTTATTATTTAGGATTTGGAGTTGAAAAAGATAAGCACAAAGCATTTGAGTACTACCGAAAGTCTGCAGAAATAAATAATCCTAATGGGATTTATAAAACTGCTATTTGTTACAGATATGGAATTGGTGTGGAAGAGAATTATAATGAATATCGGAAATGGATTAGAAAGTAATTGATTTTTAATTTTATTTTAAAAAGTTGAAAATATCTCACAATTAATTATCAAATTTAATTATCAGAGAGTAAGCATAAAAGAGCATTTATTAATCTACATATTGGTAATTTTTTAAGTCATAAATAATTAATTATTGTGTTAATTTAGCCCGTACGTATAAAGAACATTGATTAGTCATTAGAATTAAAAACAGTAAAATATTACAAATCAGAAATATATCAAATCATTAATTCGCATTAATTATTACATTCAGCTTGTGAGTATAAAGATTATTTATTAATTATTGTAATTAAAAACAGAGAAACAAGTTCATAAATAATAGGCATAATTCTAATTTATTATTACCTCAAATCATTTCATTCGTATTAATTTAGTCTGTGAGTATAAAGATCGTATATTAATCATTGAAATTAAAAATAGAAAATAGGTTTAAAATCAAGAATATAAATACTGATTTACCATATGTAATACTTTCAAATCACTTCACTCGCATTATTTTAGTCGGTGAGTATAGAGATCATTGTTTACAAATTGAGAATATAAATACTTATCACCATTACGTAATACCCTTATTCACATTAATTAGTGAGTGAGTATAAGGATCATCAATTGTTTTGAATTAGCATCAGCAAAATAAAGTTCACAAATCGCATTAATCATTTCATTCAGTGAGTGAGTAAATCTTTTGAAGTAAAGTCAGCAATGAGATTTCGCATATGAAGAACATAAAATATTTATTTATCATTTCAAATCATTTCATTCACATTTTAGTGGGTGAGTACAACTAATCATTGAAATTAAAAAGAACAAAACAAGTTCACAAATCATGAACGCATATACTTATTTACCGTTTCGATCAGCCTGTGAGTATAAAGACCATTTATTATTCATTGGAATGAATATAATAATACACATTTACCATTCAAAATCATTTCGTAGTCGGTGAGTCAAATGATTATTGAGCTCACAAATAAAGAACATAAATATATTTACCATTACTTCAAATCATTAATTTAGTCTGTAAGTATAAAGATTGTTTATTATTTATTGACAGCAAACAAGTTCGCAAATCAAGAATGTAAATACTTATTTATCATTACATAATGCCCTTCAAATCATTTCATTCGCATTGATTTAGTCAGTGAGTATAAAGTTCATTAATTAGACCACACCAATTTGATTCTTAGTTTAACATAACATAACCCTCTAATTTTTAAAAATTTACATATAAAAAAACATGGTATTAACAAATCAAATTGCAGCGTTGGTTTTTTTAAAATTATTTAAATTTTTACAGCCAATAGAATTGCAGAGTTTTTTTTTGCAAATCCATCGTTTTTGGTTTACAGGGTCCATTCTTTTGATTCACCTGTGATCGACAAAAAAAACACCTTTTTATTTAAAACAGAAAAATAAAATATTTCGGTAGCCAACTAATCAAATTTGATGTTTTTTTTTTTTTTGAATTCTACGAATCCGTAGAATCTAAATAAAAAATTCATTAAATTTGGTCTGATGGTTGTGGCATAGCTGCCGCAACAAAATTGTACCGACAGATTCTCGATTTTGATTGGCTAAAAGCGACGATCAAAAAATTAGGCGGGAATTGCCAATTTTACCAAATTTACCATAATCCGGGCTTATTTTTTACGAATTTCTATTTTTGTAATGAAAAAATTAAGTTAACTCCAGCCGGAAATTAGTAAGCAATTTTGTAATGTGGGCCAAAATTTGAAGATTCTCGGCCGTCAGCCAATCAAAATCGAGGATCTGCCAGTCCAATTTTGTTGCGACAGCTATGGTTAATTGCGTTTCGATTTTTCTCTAACTTTGAACGAAGATATCCCGATAATTATCTGATTAAATTCGATGAAAATTTTTTAATAATTCATCAAATTTGATTAGTTGATTCCCGAAATATTTTAAACTAATTTTAAAATTTTTTATTTTTTTTTTGTTTTAATAAAAAGCGGTCCCTTTTTTTTGTCGATCACAGGCGAATCAAAAGTATGGACCCCGTGAATCAAAAACGACGGATTTGCATTTTTTTATCCCCTCCCCTATAAAATATTTTATGTTATGTTAAACAAAAATCCGCTTGGAGTGTCCTTAATACAAGAATAATATTAATAAAATCAACAAAACAATTCACAAATTAAGAATACTTATTCACCATTATATAATATCCTTCAAATCATTACATTTACATTAATTTAGGTAGTAAGTGTAAAATCATTAGAATTAAAAACAGCAAACAGGTTCACAAATCAGGAACATAAATACTTATTTATCATTGTATAATACGTATTTCAAATCATTTATTCGCATTAATCGTTTCGTTTAGTGAGTAAGTATAAAGATCATTTATTAATCGTTTTAAAAACAAGTGAATAGATATGGATTTAAATATTTATCATTACTTCAAATCATTTTATTCGAATTAATTTAGTATGTGAGTATAAAATAATTTAAGAATATTGATAACTCACACCACTAGTGTTTAATATCACAGTTGCTATATCTCAAAAATCAAGCAATTAAAGCCGGATATTCTAAGTAAAAATGGTTAGAATTTCCCAAGACCTTATACAAACAAAAAATTTATTATTATTTCTTATTTTATAAGAGCATCCTAACACTAAATTTTCATAGTAAAATTTACATATTTATTAAACACTATGGCGTGATTATATTATTTTGTTATTATTAATTATTGGAGTTAAAACAACAAACCAAGTTAACAAATCATACTAATTTATTATGCAATATTTTATCCACATTAATTTAGTGGGTGAGTGTAATTGATCATTTAGAAGCAAAACAGTATAACAAATTCACAGATCATGAATATAATTTCATTTAGCTAGTGAGTATAAAGATCATTTATTCACCAAAACAAGCACACATAAAATACTTACCATTACGTAATACCCTTCAAATTATTTTATTCGTATTAATCATTATTTTAATGATTTATTCAGTGAGTGAGTATAAATAAAGATTAGTTATTGGAATTGAAATCATGAATATATAAACACTTATTTCCTATTATATAATTTGCATCAAAAATCATCTTTAGTCGGTGAGTATGAGAATTATTTACCTTAAATATAAAGTTGTATAGCAAATATGAAGTAAATAATATTTTGTGATTGTAAGCTCACCTGGACATGAAAAATGTGCACATTGTAATGAAAACAACACGAATGAGGCATGGTGTCAGTCATGTGACCCTGACATAGCAACACAATGGACAAGTAGAAATAAGGAAATTGATGATTGCATAAAAGCGTTTCAACTTAGAACCTTTGCATATGAGGATGTGATTGAGTGGATTCCATTTGATAAACTATACAATATTGAAAAAATCAGTAAAGGAGGATTCGGATCTATTTATAAAGCAACCTGGTCAGATGGTATACGAAAATGGGAAACTTTTAAAAAAATTGGTGGCAACTATATCGACAAGCGTTCACGTGAACCAGACAGCATTGTTGCACTCAAAACCTTGTCGAATTCAAATACAAACCAAAGTTCCCTTGATTTTTTAAGCGAGGTAGGTTAAAATTGTATTCTATAAGCTTATATAATAGTCCATTGACTAACGATTTTATATAACTTAAAAAGTTTAAAAATCACATGCAATGTATATTACATGGTAGTGGACTTCCAATATATGGCTTAACTTACAACCCGAAAACTGATGAATACTTAATGGTATTTCAGTATGCTAATGACGGAAATATTCATAAGTTCTTACGATCAAATTTTAACAGACTTACATGGGAACTTAAATTAAAACAACTCAGAGATATATCCGAAGACCTAAGCAAAATTCATAGCGCAGGATATATTCATGCCGACTTTCATAGTGGCAACATTCTTCACAATAAAGGTACTTCTTATGTCTCGGATCTAGGATTATCTAAAAAAATAGATGAAAATTGTTCAGAAGGTGATGTTTATGGAGTCATGCCTTATGTTGCTCCAGAAGTTTTATCAGGTAAAAAGCAGTTTACACAAGCAGCAGATATATATGGATTTGGTGTTATTATGGCTGAAATGTCAACTGGAAAAAGGCCTTTTGATGGATGTAGGTTTGATACTGATCTTGCAGTCGAGATTCTCGAAGGAGTGCGACCAGAGTTTGCTCTCGGAACTCCTGAATGTTATGTTGGTTTGGCAAATCATTGCATGAATTCAGACCCACAAAAACGGCCTAGAGCTTGGGAGATTTATGATAAAATTGATAATTGTATTAAAAAGTTAACTTCATATGATGAAAATGAAATCAAAAAACAGTTTTTTAATGCTGACGAAATTATTAAAACGTTACCGATAATTTCTAAAATTCATCCGGATGATATGTATACTAGCAAAATTATTAGTACGCGAAAAATATCAAGTATATTTATAGGTATAATTAAAAATTATTTAAAAATAAATATTATACTTTATATAAATAATTAAATTTTAATTATTATTTTAAAAACTTTTAGCAAGTAAGGCTATTGAGCTTGTTAATATTCCTACTGGTAAGTTTTATAACATTAATTTATAAATATACAAATTAATTAATTATTTTATTTTAATGCTTTAGAGTAAATATTTTACTTTTAATAAAGAATAAATTTATAAAGTGCGGGTGAAAAGGTATTATTTAAATTAAAATTTAACATATATTTGCTAGATTTTTTATTATTTATTATTTTTTTTAATATTAATGAATATAATTTCACTTTTTGTACTATAGTAGTACAACTAAAAAAAAAGGATGTTCTATAGAAGAGGTGGGCAATATAGAAAATAAACTCCGCTAATGATTAGTAATCATTAATAGATATTTAGCGGAGATGCGGAGTTTGCGGAGTTTGCGGAGTCTGCCCACCTATTCTATAGAACATCCAAAAAAAATTTAAAAATTCAAAAATTATAAGTTCAAAAATTATAATTAGGGCAAATTTGCCTCGGATTTTTATTATAAATTTGCTTCTAATCAATTTTTTTTAAAAATTAAAATATTAAAATAAATTTTTTTTTAATAATTATTGAAAATAAAGGATTATATAATTGTATAATTTAATTTTATATTAAAAGAAAAAATTTTAAGCTAGTTATAAGCCTAAAATACCTAATTTTATTAAAAAAATTAGTTTAGTTAAAATTTATTTATTTATCTTTGATAAATTTTTTAAAAACACAATTACTTTATAGAATATTTTACTATTTTTACAACTAAAGAAGTAACAAAAATTTTTAAAAAATTTAGCAAAGTTAAAATCTTAGCTTGAAACACAAAAACCAGAAGCAAAGTGGTTGTTATACAAATAAAGTTTCATAGTAGGGAAAAAATAAACACTATAAAAAATAGCTGGGTTTTACTAATCTGTTAAGAGAAGTTGTTAAGAATTAGCATCAATATAGTGAAAGAATATGCACAACATAAAGCAGTTCTGAAAAATATCCCCAGTACATACAGAAAATATTGTTACTGAGACAGTTGAGAAAGTAGCAGTATACATTCCAACAAATAGCAATAGAAATCCAAGAAGCTTAGTACAATTCTGCTTCAAGTTATTAGAAAATAAATAAGAAGCTTTAAGGTGCAAGACAAAATACAGCAATACAAATCTTATTTGGTAAACTATGATTTAGAAATTATGAATTTAAAAACAAGATTGCAACAAAAAATCTAAAGCAAGCAAATCAAAAGTATAGTAAAGTTTATCTTTCTTATAGCAGCTACAGAAAAATAAGTAATAACTTAAATAGTTAAAAAAAGAGTGTTAAGAAAAATAAAGTAGCAAAGGCATCACCATTGGAAAATAAATGAATAAGTGCAAATTTTTGAAGAATTGTAAAAAATTTGCAAAATTTTTTTAAAATTTGAAGTTTTACACAGAATTGCATCTAATTTCTGTATTTATAGTATCAAATTTGAAGTTTTGTACAAATTTTTATTTGATTTATTATTTAATTTTTTTGCAAATCTATGCAGAACTACAATAAAAAAATTTTCTGATGATAAATAAAAATATTTGAAGACAAAAAGAAGATACAAGTGATATGTAACTACTATTAAAAAAAATTCTTAAGAGATTAAACAGGCTCAAAATAAAAGGTAGAAGGCAGATGCTTTATTATTGCTTCTAAGGCATCTTAATAAAAACTGATATTGGTAAAACTCTGCAATCTAACAAGTTAATCATTAAAGATTTGAAGAGAAAAAAAATAGTAAATCTCAAAATAATATGTTATAATATTAATTGAATCAAGAATAGTAATAGTTATAAGCTAGAGGTTTTGTTAAATTAGATTGCAAAGGAGGATCTAAAGATTGTTAATATAGCTGAATTAAATATTT